AAACATTTATTTACATCCCATTCTTATTGTAGTTATTTATTTGAATTTGTATTAATTTTTTATATTTATTGATTATTTCCTGTTCACTATAAAACAAAAATGTTTCTGTGTTAAGTTTTAATGATGGTTATTTGAAAAATGCAAAAAATGCGGAGGAGCTGCGGACAGTAGAAGCGAGATTCTCTGAACTATGACACTGATATGCGATTATAAGACGTTACTCAGCCGACTGAGTCAGAGACTGTCTCATACCGTCTCTATTTTCATGATGCATCTCTGAATTGACACTAGGGAGGACAGAATAGGATATAACCAGAACTGACCTTTTTACGTCTGACGGATTTTGCCCTTCTAAATAATCTCTTGCTCATAGTTCTCATTAATACAACCAAATATCTGATGAAATGCTAGAATTCACCTCCAAAAAAAGCATTTTAGCATGATAAAGAAGCAAAAAGCCCTGCGTTCGACCTCAAATGCTGCAGACAACGGCACTGAATGTAATTCTGAGCTGGAGTCGATAATCATAAGTAATTTATGACCAATGAGAATTCAGCGTCGCATTAGTTTTCTTGAACCTTGCATCAACCTCGTCTCATTTAGCTATATTAAGTACAAAACTCATTTAAACTATCCATTGTCAATAACCTGGGTCACAGCCTGCAAAAGTTCAGTTTTGCTCTACTTTCATTCATACTTGCATTATAGCCGCGATCCAGATATAATGGTGCTCTCTCCTGTTTCTCATGTTAAATTTGGGCTAAATCTAAAAGAGTGGTCTCAGAGTCTGAGATCCCACAGTGGGACTTCCTCTGACTGGCTGCACTTTTAATGAGAGATTTCCCAGTCCTGCCGAATCCTCCGGGCGATGCTTTCGCTCTGACGCTAATGTGCCCTGACTGCTGCGGGCTTGTTAATACAACCAGCATTACCGGGAAGGAGCAGAGGAAGAATAAGAAATTAAACACTTATTAAAAAGCGGCGCTTGATGTGAAGCTGCTTTTATTGCTGGTGATTTATATTGCTCCCATATGAACTACGGCTAAAGTAGATTTTACGAGACCTGACTTCATATTTATTGTTGAAAGCTAAACAACAAATGTGCAACACCACATTTTGGAAGCGTATTTGTTTTCTGGTTCACAAAGTTGCTCAGTAACTTTTGCTTTTCTTTCTGAGATGCACAGTAATTGCTGCAACCTCCTGAGAGACTTTTAATGAGTAGTTATCCAGAATCTTCCTAGCCTAGCGAAACTGGAGCATGAAAATTGCTATTTAATGAGTGCATTTGACTGTTTATTGACTTGTTTTAAAATCATTACGCATGATGCATAAAACCACAATGTCCTATTGAAGTCATTTTGTGGCACAGAGTCCCTAAAGTGAATGTTTTTAGTGCATTAAAATGTCTGTTTTGGTGTCATAGCCATGCTTTAGCAGTTAGCACACATGCTAGTTTGAAACCAAAAAGTGACTTTTCCAGCCCTCTCACTGTTATCTCTTTATTTGTGTATCAATAAAAGTTACAAAAATACATAAATAACTAAATTTTTACATGGTTTCTAAGAAAATGTGTGAGTTTTTGCCTGAGATAATCTGCTTTAGCCAGGATGCTAAGATTTTGTGAGTGTTTGCTAAGTATTGGTAGCTGCTATTCTTTTTGGGTGAACTGCCACTTTAAATATGAGAAATAGTAATAGCAATGCAAGTCCTACTAAAATGTCTCTTTGAAAAGAAAACTTTTTATTGGCACTGTTGTTTTTCTTGTTATTTCAGACTTTAAAAATGCAAATCTAAAGAGTGGGCTCTAAGAGGCAGATTATTCAGACGTCATAAGTGAACCTGCTCAACTGAAATGCAAAGTCCTCTTTGGTGTATGTGTGGGTGATTCAAATGGTATCTGCACAGCGTATAGTGGATTAGCTAGAGTCACTTAATGGCACCTGGATAACCTGTGCTAAAGCCTTTAAATTCTGCAGCAGAATATGAGACTCTTCATACCTATGTTTTAAATGAAGGTATACATGATTAGAAGATGAAAAAGACCATTTCAACAGTTGCTATCACTCTGCAAGATGCACTTTTTGTACACTGAAACATAACATTGTTGAGAAGACAATCCCAGAATGCATTGGGTTTGAAAAAAACTTCCAAGATGGTTGGATGAGTTGAGAGAAATGCTGATTATAGATATAAATATAAGCTGCAAGCAGCAATTAAGGGGTCAAGCACATCAGAGGTAAAATGAAGAGCTAAGGTGCTGTCTTTCATTTCTCAGAAAAGACCAGGGTTCTTCCTGGAGAGCTACCTTCCTGCAGACTTAAGTTCCAACCCTGCTTCATCACACCTGTCTGTAAGTAAGTAGCCCTGAACACCTTGGTTAGCTGGTTCAGGTGTGTTTGATTAAGGTTGAAGCTGAACTCTGCAGTATGGTAGCTCTCCAGGAGCAGGGTTGGAAACCCCTGTTAAAGATATTTGTTGATACAAAATTTTACTACAAAACTTAAAATTATTTTTTGATTTTTTGAACAAGATTTTTGGCCAATCTGGTCAGAAGTTATGAGCAGAAATGTCATCTTTTTAAATATTTTTGACCAGTAGGTGGCGATGTTCCAAAACTACTCATGTGCCTTCAGGTCATGCTTGTTACAACACATACCATGTTTGGTCAGAATCCGCTAAAGCGTTGCGAAGATATAGCCTCATGTCCATTTTTGCATGATTTTCATCAAATTCGTTAACATACTTTACAAAGACGGTTTGGTATATCAAAAAGCTTTTGATATATTTATGCTAGAATGCTCAGAAGATGATCTGAGCCAATTTTTATGAAAATCGGACAAACCGTCTAGGACAAATTCGAAAAAGTAGATTTTTCGCAAAATTCAAAACTGTGAAAACGTTGACACGTAGAGATTAACATTTTGATATGCATTCGACCTGAATCAGAGAAAAAAAGATTTTTGCTTCTAGACCTTACAGTTCAAAGGTTATTAGCTGACATATGAGATTTCTATGGAGCCCCGCACATGACATGCAAGAAAAAATAAATATATCGTGCGCACGATTTACTAATCCGTTCCCTCGATGTACTAATACATGCACACGATTACTATTTTGTTCCCTCGATTTGTTAAATTGTGCGCACAATTTACTAATTCGTTCTCTTGATTTATAAATCGTGTGCATGATTTAGCAAATCGAGGGAACGAAATAGTAAATCGTGCACACGATTTAGCCTACTATTTTCTTTCCTGCATGCCATGTGCGGGGCTCCATAGATTTCTGCTATATTAGCAGAAATGTGAAATTTGGCCTATTGGTGGCGCTAGAGAGTTTGAGACAGAGACTCCAAATTTGCTATGGTAAATGTTGGGACCGTCCTCTATCCATGTGCCAAATTTCATAACTTTCCCGCAAGCAGTTATATGGGCTGCCATAGACTCCCAGAGCCGAAGAAGAAAACTAACGGATAAAGTAGTTTAACTAAAAACTATTCATATTTTATGCATCATTTATGTATTTTTATGCTCTTTTGTGTATATTGTTGTTAGCTTAGAAACAAGCTAACATCAAACTCTGTTGAAATCAATTATTAGTCAAGTCTCAATTAGTTCCAAATCAGTCGTAAATTGTGTGTTTTTTTTTTCTTCAGGATGCTGACTTAGACTCTTTTCTCTCTTCTCTTCTTCCTGTCTCAGAGGTCTGCCCTGCGTTAAGTCCAACTGATCAGGCAGAAATCAGGCTCATTAAAATCTCCCAGCTGTCTTTGCGATGGGCCGTTTCTAATCCCAGCCTCTGCACACTGTTCACACATCAGTGTGTACACGTCTAGATCGGGCGTTTCATTGAAGGTCTCTGCAGTGCTTGTCAGATGAACCACATGCGTACGCGCATGATATCTGGTTTGAGAAATTAGGATGGGTTTGTCACACAGTTTATTTATATATTTGTTTCCTCTGACATTTCAAATGAGTTTATTGAAGGAGTTTATTTCTTTAATAAACAGCTCCAAGGTTTCACAGGAAGGATTTGTGTGATTAGTGAGCATTAGCCTCACATATTTAGCATTTCTGCGTGTTTTGTAATAGGCGAATTGTTATTTTTGTGGCCATGGCAAGCTGTAAAGGGCAAAGGGTTGCTTATAAAACTTTCTGCCTGCCAAATTTTAGTGTATAATCCCAAAAGAGGATTGAGATGGCTAATTGTGTAATAGCAAAATTAAAATATACTGAAATATGGCTTCAAACATGATGGTCAAAATTCATTAACATCTAATCTCTTACACAAACGTTTAGGTGCAGAATGAGGTTAGGTGATGCTTTTTTAGGCATTTCTCCTCCAAAATCTGGAGCATTTTACCAATTCAAATCACTGTAGATAAACTCCAAGGATTAAAAGTTTTAAAAGGCAACTAAAGACATATCCTTTTAAATTATTTTTTAAATCATAATTTCATTCGTTTTTAATACATTTTAAGGTTCTGTTTTTTCCTATTTCCTTTTTTATTTTGTTAAATTTATTGATAGAATATAATATAGATAGAATATAAAAATAAGTAAATTATTGTTATTATTATTATTATTATTAGTAGTAGTAGTAGTAGTAGTAGTAGTAGTATTAATGAACAGGAAATCACTGGTAGAAAAACTTGTCACAGTCTCCCTTGAGTTTGATAGCTTAATAATAATAATAATAAGTAGGGAGACAGGAAATCTCATGTATAATTATGTGTAATTATATATTAAATTAATTTTTAAATCTTTATAATAATAATAATTAGTATTATTGTTATTATTATTATACAATTGATCACACTATTATTATTATTGTTATTATTATATTTGAGATATTAGAAGAAGTATTTGTGTAAAATAAAAATGTAATTTAAGTTGTTAGAGACTCAGTTATAGACTAAATATACGTGAATAGGTGAATATTATGTTATAGTTTGAATTATAAGTTATGGGTGAATATAATCTCTATTTTTCTGCCCATAGTGTGAGTGCAGTAGACGGGGCCCGTGACAGGAGGAGCCACGCCGTGACACAACCCCTCACAGGAGGAGAAACTCTCCGTTGAGCTCCAGGACTGGCAGACCCATGGGAGCCAGCACTCGGCTAACACCAGCAAATAGGATGACATTATTGTGTAATGACGTGTGGGCTTTGGTGCAGTCTGCGTATTACACCACAGGACCAAAGGCCAGATTGAGAGAAACAGAAAGTCTGCAGAGAACCCTGCTCTGTGCTCTTTTGAAGTAGGAGGCACATACATATGTATCAGAGTTTAAGCAGACTTGTTGAAAAAAAATGGAAGAAATATATATATATACTTCTTTTGACCCTTAAGACTTTAAAGAGCAAGGTCAAGGACGAGGACAGCAAGAATTGCATTTATTAATACATTTTTGTTTTTAGTAAAACAAAAAATACAGTGGCTATTTCAGAACCATTTTTTTTTTTGCGCTTGACTAGACTTTACTGAATACTAAAAGACACGTGTTTTGTCTTTCTGCCATGCACTGAGAAAGAAAAAAGGAAAGAATGACAGAAAAATCTATTCGTGTGAAATTGCTTTGCCTGCTCTGGGAGGCTACGTTTTGAAAGGGCCCGTGTGTTGATGATAATTGCAGAGTGTGGGCCTGATTATTCCAGCCACATGCTTTCTGTTAACTGACAGAATAATTACACACTGGGCTTAATGGCTCTCCCGAAGAGAAAGAGTGAGAGAGGACTGAATGATTGCTCTGGATGCGTGAGGAATTCTGATCGCGTCCGACGAGGAATTGCTGAGGAATTGGAAACATCTCTAATGCTTGTGAGTGCAGTCTCTTATGGGTTGTGTGTACAACCTCCCCAGATAAAGGAGGAAACTTGTTGGCTGGATATGAAGTCAGTTACTGGTGAGCATATATAAGATGGAAGATGTTGCTGTGGAGTCTGGAGTCAGGATCCTGGATGTCGTTGAGGATGTAAGAAGTACGAGGAGAAGATGAAATGGATTTTCTTGTCTGAGGAAGACATGAGGCTAAAACCAGGGAATGACTTGGAATCAGGGCGTCTTTGTTTTTTTTTCTGAATTAAAATTAGCTTTGATATTTCTGATGGCATGTAGTCAAAAATATCAGGGTGGTATTACCTGTACTTTGCAACAAGTACTTTATAATTTTATTATTATTATTTCGTATTTTTTAATTATAAAATATAAATTTTTGCAAAACATTTGTATGCCAAAGTCATGTGGTACAACCAAGTTCCAGAAAAATGCAGGGACAAAAACTGGGAAGTAGAGTGAAATTCTTGAAAACTTTATTTAGTATTTTGGTATAGTCTTTTGTTTTTATTTCTTAGAAAAAAACAATGAAGCAATGGAAGCCTGTTTCTGCCACTGAATAAAAAAATTAAAAGGTAATTGTGACTTTTTATCTCAAAATTCTGTATTTTTTCTCAGAATTGTGAGATATAAACATGCAATTATGACTTTTTTTCTCAAAATTATGAGATATAAACTAGCAATTGAGAGTAATAAAGTCAGAATTGCGAGATATATACAGGCAGTTCTGACATTTTTTTCAGAATTGCATGTTTGTATCTCGCAATTCTGACTTTTTTCTTGCAATTGCGAGTTTATATCTCACAATTCTGACTTCACTCGCAATTGTGTGTTCTACACAGAATTGTGAGACATAGACGTGCAATTCTGAGAAAAAAAGTCACAATTGCGTGATACAGAATTGTGAGTTTATATCTCGCAGTTGTGAATTTTTTCTCAGTTGTGAGTTTCTGAATTTATAACTCGAAATTGCAAGTTTATATCACAATTCTGAGAAAAAAAGGCAAAATTGTCTGTTTATCTCTCGCAATTCTGACTTCATTTCTCAGTTTATATCTCACAATTCTGAGAAACAAAGTCAGAATAGTGAGATGTAAACTCAATTCCAAGAAAAAAAAAGTCACAATTGTGAGATAAAGTCACAATTATCTTTTTTTATTCAATGACAGAAACAGGCTTCCATATGAAACAGTTTTGTTACCGTATAATAAATGATGGAGCGTTTAATTTTCCTTAAACCAAAATATGGTCTGACCAACAAAATCAAATGGTGCGACTGACTGTGTTGTCATGTAGTGTGACCAACTAAGCAAAAAGGTGCAATCAACAACGTGATATGGTGCGACCAAATATGTCATGTGGTGCAACTAACAAAGTGATATCATGCAACCAACGTGTCATTTGGTGTGACCAACTATGTCAACAAAGTCATATGGTCCGATCAAATATGTCAAGTGGTACAACCAATTTTCTGAAACAGTCAAGGGAAAGAAACAAGGAAAATGGGCAAGTTTAGACAGGACCAGAGCTGTCCGTGGAGCCAAGAGCTTTAAATGGCAGTTCTACAAAACCAAGAGTTCACTTTCAGTTCAGAGAACACGTCGAGGAAAGCCAGTTTGACACACTGTAAAAGAGCATAGTGCTGAAAGCAGCTACTAATGGTGAAGCCACTCCTGTAGCAGCTGCATGTTCTTTTCTGTTTAATAGCTGGGAAACCTTAAAACAGCTACATACTGTCAACACAAAATTAGTTCAGCCTGTCACAAATGTTTACATCTCTTTTTGGCAATTTGAGTGTGACATAATGGCCTAAAACCTGTTTTAAGTTACCTTGCAAACTTTAGTGATACTTCATAAAGACACTACTAAAACGAATCCATCATAAAGACACTACTAAAATGAATGCTGTTCTCGAATTGTAGGTTCCATCATTATGCTACCTAAAATATCTAAGACATTGGAAGAAAGATTGCATGTGTCCTTTGTGGATGCTCAAACTTGCTCTTAAACAGCTATTTATTAAATTTTGAGGTACGATCTAATATGCAACTGACTGCAATTGGCCCTTGCGTCCAAATATACCTACTTCCATACTATAGAGTAGCCAAACTGACTTCACTCGCAATTGTGTGTTCTACACAGAATTGTGAGACATAGACGTGCAATTCTGAGAAAAAAAGTCACAATTGCGTGATACAGAATTGTGAGTTTATATCTCGCAGTTGTGAATTTTTTCTCAGTTGTGAGTTTCTGAATTTATAACTCGAAATTGCAAGTTTATATCACAATTCTGAGAAAAAAAGGCAAAATTGTCTGTTTATCTCTCGCAATTCTGACTTCATTTCTCAGTTTATATCTCACAATTCTGAGAAACAAAGTCAGAATAGTGAGATGTAAACTCAATTCCAAGAAAAAAAAAGTCACAATTGTGAGATAAAGTCACAATTATCTTTTTTTATTCAATGACAGAAACAGGCTTCCATATGAAACAGTTTTGTTACCGTATAATAAATGATGGAGCGTTTAATTTTCCTTAAACCAAAATATGGTCTGACCAACAAAATCAAATGGTGCGACTGACTGTGTTGTCATGTAGTGTGACCAACTAAGCAAAAAGGTGCAATCAACAACGTGATATGGTGCGACCAAATATGTCATGTGGTGCAACTAACAAAGTGATATCATGCAACCAACGTGTCATTTGGTGTGACCAACTATGTCAACAAAGTCATATGGTCCGATCAAATATGTCAAGTGGTACAACCAATTTTCTGAAACAGTCAAGGGAAAGAAACAAGGAAAATGGGCAAGTTTAGACAGGACCAGAGCTGTCCGTGGAGCCAAGAGCTTTAAATGGCAGTTCTACAAAACCAAGAGTTCACTTTCAGTTCAGAGAACACGTCGAGGAAAGCCAGTTTGACACACTGTAAAAGAGCATAGTGCTGAAAGCAGCTACTAATGGTGAAGCCACTCCTGTAGCAGCTGCATGTTCTTTTCTGTTTAATAGCTGGGAAACCTTAAAACAGCTACATACTGTCAACACAAAATTAGTTCAGCCTGTCACAAATGTTTACATCTCTTTTTGGCAATTTGAGTGTGACATAATGGCCTAAAACCTGTTTTAAGTTACCTTGCAAACTTTAGTGATACTTCATAAAGACACTACTAAAACGAATCCATCATAAAGACACTACTAAAATGAATGCTGTTCTCGAATTGTAGGTTCCATCATTATGCTACCTAAAATATCTAAGACATTGGAAGAAAGATTGCATGTGTCCTTTGTGGATGCTCAAACTTGCTCTTAAACAGCTATTTATTAAATTTTGAGGTACGATCTAATATGCAACTGACTGCAATTGGCCCTTGCGTCCAAATATACCTACTTCCATACTATAGAGTAGCCAAACAAAAAAACAAAAAACAACAACAGTGGATTAAATGAAAAATATGTCCAAATTTGTAATGGCATTAAAACAGTAGGAGCAAAGTAGTTGTATGACCTACTATTTCTGCTGAGATTGCAAAGTGCACATCTGATGAACACTTAACTTTCCCATGAGGCCACAGAATGGGATTTGTAAATGGGAGTGAAATGATGCAGCTGGGCACATGACAGACCCAGCGTGATGTAGTGCGTCCACATTTCACTCATACTACACAGATTCAAACTATATAGAACATACTTTTTAAAGGCTGAAAAAGTCGTTCCAAATTAAATGTTGTACCTACTCAGATGTGGTGAGACCAAATACTGTATGTCAAGGGGTGCAACCAACAAAGCAATGTGAAGTGACCAACAAAGTCATATGGTGCAACCAACTTTGGCACCCATTGTATGGAAAAAATACAATGGAAGTCAATGGGAACCAAAACTTGTTACCAACATTCTTCAAAACTGACTTCCACTGTATGGACAACAATTATAGTGCAAGTCAATGAGAAGTTTATCTGTTGGGTCTACTTCAAAAAATCTTCTTTTGTATTCCCCAGAAGAAAATAATAAAATAAGTTTGGAACGACATGAGGGCGAGTAAATGATGACAGCGTTTATTTGGGTTTTGGGTAAACTATCCCTTTAAATACCCTACCAGGCACATTTAGATGTACATTATACCCAGCACATTATGGGTGCTGCTAGTCATGTGACACAGATAAGCCAATCACTTGTCTCGTAAAACTTTTTTATTATTAATCTACACCTATACTTAACCTCCAACAACCCGCCCATGGACCGACCACCTAATATATATTATATATATATTGTATATAATATATATATTGTACACAAAGTGTCCAGAGCTAGTAAAATCCAGCAGTCCAGTCTCATTTGATAGCTGCTAAGGAACTTATTTTTTTAATGAAAGTACATTCTGCCTGGTTTTACACACTATTTTCTTCAATGTTTTTTGTCTAA